GCGTGGTGTAGTAGTGTGTTTTTTAACCAAATAACTTCTGGGTGAGTTAGTTTCTTATCAGGAGACCAAACATGGTATGCCAAGCCTTCACAGAGTGTGATTTTAAAGAAATATTTCTCAAGTCTCCATCTTTCCTTTGTGTGGGTGCAGAGTCAGCACAAGGAAACCGTGGCTCAGGCAAGTGAGAAAAAATGAATTTAGATTATGTTTACAAGCCAAGGAAAGGAGAAAAGAAGACACGCTGAACAAATCCTCTACTGGAAACATTGCTAAAGAGTTTTTAAACTGAAGATTATGCCACCACTTAAGATATTTTTCTCTACTATTTTGCCCAGCAGATGACAAAACTGCATCTAGGACTGAAATAGCAGATTGCCTCAAGAGCAAATGACAGTATTTGTACCAGGAGTGTTGGCAGCCAGCGGCACAGCTGGGTTTCTGCACAGCAAACTTCAAACTGGGGCTCCAAGATAACCTCACCTACTGCACCAATGCTAAAGTGCTGAATCCAAAGTCAGAAGGGCTCATTATTCCATATTTTTTCCACCACCTCCTTCCCAAATGCACGTGTACCTGCCTGACCTCCTCTGCCTGGGGAAGGCTGAGAATGAAGAAGAAAAAGAGAGTGAGAGCAGGCCAGAGTGACAAGGTCCCCAGGCATCAACAGGAGTGAATGGTCCATTATCCACAGGATGCAGGAACACAAAAAAGATGGAAAACTCCAGATGAGCCAAACAGTTACTTATATGAATGGTTTTAATCTTCCCCTGCAAATACAAATTAAAAAATATTTATTCAAGTTTCATCTCCTCTTCAAGGCTGGGTACCTTCATAAAATAACATCATTTTTATTAAAAGAGACTCAAGAGTGGAGGGAGGAACTTGTAATAACCTTAATAATTAGTAGGATGGTCCCAAAGGCAGTCCTTCTGCACCTATAGCACAACTCACTAGACAAAAACCAAATCTCCTTTAAGGGCTTGAGGAAAACAGCCACCTTTAAACAAAGATGCCGGCACTTCCTTGTCTGTGCTCACTGACTGCCAATGACGATGCGCTGGTCTTCCCCGTGCCTCTGCAATTTCTACCAAAAAGTCTGGAAAGGCAAATTAAACAGAAGTCTTTGCTTAAGGAGACTTTAATTATGAAACCCATCCAATTAAAGTGCTGTAGCTGGCATTCACGGCATCCCTTCCCTGTCTTTGAAAATCACAGCCAGGGCTTTGGCAGTGGAAATGGGTCTCTCTCTTTTTTTTAAAAATTTTTTATTGAATAATAACAGCTTTACAATGTTGCATCAAATTCCAGTGTAGAGCACAATTTTTCAGTTATACATGAACATACATATATTCATTACCACATTTTTCTTTTGCTGTGAGCTACCACAAGATCTTACATATATTTCCCTGTGTTGTACAGTGTAACCTTGTTTATCTATGTTGCATACGCCTGTCAGTATCTACAGATTTTGAACTCCCAGTCTCTGCCTCTGGTACGTAGGCTGACCTCCAAGCAAACCATAGGCTCTTCCATACCAAAGAGAACAAATGGACAAACTTTTTCAGGTTAGGACAGTGCTTTTCAAACTACATAATGCAGAGTACAGAATACTGTATTATGTTGCATATGCCCACATCTCCCAAGGCGCAGAAGGTCCAGAATCTCACAAACTAAATTCAATTGGCAAAAGGCCAGGGGTTCAGGTAAACAGAAGCCTACATTTACATAAATGTTAATTTAATCCTAGGGAAACCAAGAGTGGAGGATTAAGGGAGAGCTAAAACTCCCACCCTTCCTCTCCAAACCATCAGTGTGCTCCTAAGACAGGCTCTGCTTATGACTCCCTGAACTATACTTCTCAGGAAGGTCAGGTGCACCTGGAGAAAGGGCCTCTACCTACATTGCCACGCCTTGACTCAGCTGAATCTGGGTAAGCCAAGTGACGTCAGGAGTAAAACAAAGCTCTCTGCCTTCCTTTTCATTTTGCACTGAGTTAGCTAAAATCCCAGTGAAAAATGAACGTGTTAAACCCTCCACAATCCTCACTAGCAGAAGCAAACAATGGTCACAGAATCCCAAAGTTCAGGGGAAGAAAAAAACAAACTTTTTAGCTTTTGAATACATTTTCATCCTTATATTAGACTGAATGTACAAGATTTGGGGGGAAATTTACTCCAAGCCAGAAAGTCACCCCAAGAAGACCCCACTAAAAAAG